GAACTACTTCAGGGCCTATGGGTACTGTAGCAATGTGAGGCCAATAGCAGGGATCCGAAGCGCCTTGGAGAGCCGTCCAGCCCACGCCTCGCAGCTTTGCCAAGTCTCCGACGCTCTTCCATGAGCCCAGGGAGCCTACTACAAGTACCGCTTCATCACGGAAAATACATATTATATTGAATATATAGAAGAGATCGGCAGACGAAATGAGGGAGCCGGCCACGTCGCTGACTCATTATTAAACCCTCTGGGACACTTGATCGGCAGGTGCCTTGAGTCCTGGCCCTGTCAGAAGGGCGAACGCCATCCGGCCCAGTTCGTGGCCGATCAACGCCTCCGATGTGCTTCACACCGAGCGAGCACTGATCACATCCACCGATACACCCATGCTGATCCCATGCTGTCTAAGTCAACAGCCGAACTTTTCTGAGGACTGGACTTTGATCTGTCGCGCTGGGAAGCTTCGCACGATCCTGCAGGAGCAGCTCGAAGCAAGAGTTCAAAGAGCCCTCACGGCCAGTGCTGTCTTGCTACAGATGGCAACTTCAACTTTCGGGCAGGAAGTTAAATGCTTTTCCAAAGGACGGGTGGCCTCCCCTGAAGGATCATCAGCGATCTCTCCCCGTTCCTGGCATTTCCAGCCGCCGACCTTGATCGCCATGGCTAGCATAGCTGCCAAGACGCTTGCAGACTATGGAAACCTAAGAGCAACGTGTGCTGTTCAGGTGCAAGTGCCGTGACTCTTCTTTGAGTCTCACGCCAAACTGGCACGACACGTCCTGCAAGCGCCCAGTCCGCAACCCGTCTCTCTACAAACGACAGCACTGTGCTTGTGCTTCTAGCCGCAGACCGGATCTGCGGCGTAGGCTTATAGAAACCCTTTATAGATCTCTTTAAGGAGCCCTCTTGGGATGGGTCCTCGAAAGGTCGGCGCAAGCTTGCATGGCGGCCATGCCTGATGCGAAACTTCGGCTGCAAACTTTCAAAGTAAGTCGGGCTGCCGGACCTCGTCCACCCAAAGCTCGGGGCACAGTGGCAAATCCAGGGAGGCTTCTTCCCATGCGCCTGAGACTGGTATGGACTTACATCGCCTTATGGACTTCGAAACGACATGGCCACGGGCACTACGGCTGATGATATAAATCC